TTCCCAAGAATTTCCCACTTGATTAAAATTGATATTTTAATGGCCTCAAGCCACATGTTGCATGGGCTCATAATGACAAACCTATAGGTCACCATACTTTCCCATGAAGCATTGTTGTTTCTCAAGAACTACAATTCCCAGCATTTCTGGAAGTTATCTGGTGCTTGTGCAGGAGGAGCTTACAACTTAATTTTGGCTATTATACAAATCTCTCTTAGAAAATGATTCCAAATGGATCCTTCACAGATATGTGGACACTCAAAAATAGTGGCTGACTTTTCTCCTCACCTCCCCTAAATTATGGATGGTTTGGTAACTTTCTTCCAAAGAAAAATTAAATGAAAATGAGTACAGTACTCCTGTTATCAGTATGAACTTGACAATATAATATTCGCTGGGTGACAAAGTTTAACATCAGCAGGCAAATGACAATGTGTCTCTGATGGTGCGTAATCAATACGGCACTTCACCTTCATTGCCTTGCTCCCAACGACTAATAACTTCAGTGCAACCACATGAAAGGCATCAGACAGGTCCAAATTAAGGGTTAGTATACTGAAAATATGACAAGTGCTCCTTGAAACTGTCAGGGTTGTGGTAACAAACAAAAAAATATGAGAAAGTGTCATAGGTTAGAAAAGGCTTAAAATTCAGATACTTAAGCAGAATTGTTACGTTACAGAAAAAAGACATTAAGATAAAAGAACAACATGAAGAACACTATTAAAATTTGCATTTTAGTTAATAATCAGGCACTGATATTGACTTGTAAACTAAATGATTTCTTAAAATTGATTTACTTACTTTATTTGTAAGTGTATATGTGGTTTTCTAAGATCATGTGCACAGTTTGCTTATAGCAGCCCATGGGGACCAGGAGGCATCAGATTCCCTTGAACCAGTTATAGGTAATAGTAATATAAAGTGAGGACATGATGAATCCAAGGTATGGTTGAGAGGAAGGTGTTTTTATTGTGGATATATGAGAGAGTACATCCAGAAGCATCTGGAAGAGTCTAGAGCAGGGAGATAAAGTGGTGCATTGAAGATGGCCAGCAGATTGAACTAGGCCATGAAAGAAAGAGAAGGGGAGAACAAGAAAGGAAGAGAAGAGATGACCAAGAAACAGGAGCAAGAGAGAGGGTACCAAGAGAGGAGGATAAAGAGATTGCCAGGAGTTCACATAGTTGAAATGGCAGGGTTATATAGGAATGAGCACCTGGGGATAGGGAAGCCCAAGAGCTGGAAAAGTTTACGGTAGGAGACAGGCTGAGAAGAGTTAAGAAGAGGCACAGGTAGTTGTGATATCGAGAAAGTCTAGACACAAACATGTACTTTGGTAAACTAATAGGGACCGTTGATAGCCATTTGTCCTGAGAGATTTTTGGACTTGATAGTAGTAAGCTAGCACATGGCTGCTGGAAACTGAACACTGGTCCTCTACAAGAAGAGTAAGAACTCTTAACTACTGAGGTAGCTCTCCAACTCCTAATCTTGCTCTCTTAAAAATGTAATAAGTATTAATGTAAGATATCTAAAGGAGTTCCCTGGTAGAATTTTTTGGGTCAGTCAGATATACTATCATATGATCTGCAAATAGTGATACACCCATCAGAATGGCCAAGATCAAAAACTCAAGTTATAACACATGCTAGAGAGGTTGTGGAGAAAGGGGAACCCTCCTCCACTGATGGGGGGAATGTAAACTTGTACAACCACTCTGGAAATCCATCTGGCACTTTCTCAGACAACTAGGAATAGTGCTTCCTCAAGATCCAGCTATACCACTCCTAGGCATATACCCAAAAGAGGCTCAAGTACACAAAAAGGACATTTGCTCAACCATGTTTATAGCAGCTTTATTCGTAATAGCCAGGAGCTGGAAACAACCCACATGTCTCTCAACTGAAGAATGGATACAGAAATTGTGTTACATCTACACAATGGAATATACTCAGCAATTAAAAACAAGGAAATCATGAAATTTTCAGGTAATTGGTGGGAACTGGAAAGGATCATCCTGAGTGAGCTACCCCAGAAGCAGAAAAACACATATGGCATATATTCACTCATATAGACATATAATATATGATAAGCCTACTATAATATCTACACCTAAAAAACTAATCTAGAGGGAGGATTCTTGCTAAAATGCTCAATCCCCATTCAGAAAGGCAGAGGATGGACATCAGAAGAAGAAAACAGGAAACAAGTTGGGAGCCTCCCACAGAGGGCCTCTGAAAGGCTCTGCCCTGCAGACTATCAAAGCAGATGCTGAGGCTCATGGCCAAACTTTGGGCAGAGTGCAGGGAATCTTATGAAAGAAGGGGGAGATAGTAAGATCTGGAGAGGACAGGAGGTCCACAAGGAGGGCAGAAGAACCAAAAAATCTGAGCAGAGGGGTCTTTCCTGAGTCTGATACTCCAACCAAGTACCATGCATGGAGATAACCTAGAACCCCTGCACAGATGTAGCCCATGACAGTTCAGTGTCCAAGTGGGTTCCATAGTAATGGGAACGGGGACTGCTTCTGACATGAACTGATTGGCCTGTTATTTGATCACCTCCCCCTGAGGGGGGGCAGCCTTACTAGGCCACAGAGGAAGACAATGCAGCCACTCCTGATGAGACCTAACAGACTAGGATCAGAAGGAAGAAAAAGAAACCCTCCCCTACCAGTGGACTTGGGGAAGGGCATGTGTGGAGAAGGGGGAGGAAGGGTGGGATTGGGAGGGGAGGAGGGAACTAGAGGGGTGATAAAAAGTAAATAAAGTGTAATTAAAAATAAAATAACATAAAAAGAAACAGAAAAAGGTATCTAAAGGAGCAAGAAAATTGAGTAAGTGTTCACAAATTCTGTGCCATTGTCATGACTTTTTATAAACCTAAATATGCTTTCCAGAGTGAAACGCTTATTAATGAATAAAAAAAATCAGTAAACAAATTCTTAAATTATATAAGGTGCATCTGAGAGTAAATTTATAAAGATACACAGGTTGATTTCACTTGTATTGATATTTTAAGCTGAGTTCATGAAATACTTTAAAAATAGAATACAGGAAAAGAAAGGAGATAAATTAACATTGATTGCTAGTTTTTAAAGTCTACTTTATTTGGGGTTCCTTCAGCTTCTTCCTGCCTTCCAACCCCGAAATTCTAGATAGGAGAGAAAGAAGGGTAGAAGGGAAAGAGGATGTATACAGCTTTGGACTTAGTTCTGACCAAATAGGGGTGTTGGGCTCTTTGGGAAAAGAGCAGTCTCCATCTTCAGGAAATCTAGCAGTCCAGCAACAGCAAATGGTAAACATGGCAGGATGAACAAGCAGCCTTTTTCCTCTCCTGTCAGTCTCCTTGAAGTGTTCCTTCTTCCTCTCTCTTTGGGCTCTGGTATTTAAACCCTCTTAGAGTCCTCAGAGTTAAACTATCTCCAGCTGGCAAAGACCATGCCCCAAAGGAGACAGTTATCAGCTGTGGACAAAGGCAGTCCCATTTCCCACACTTGGGATTAAAACAGAAACTTATTTTACATAACATAACTGAGTATTTAAAGAAACAAAAACTTCCACTACAGCACAACATGGAACTTTTACCTAGTTGACCTCTTTAAAAAACACAGCAAGATTGTGAGAGATGGGTCAGTAGAAAGGACTTTGCTGGTGTTATAGAAGACTAGAGTTTGTTTCCAGGTACTACATCTGGAAACAGGTACTACAACCACCTATAGCTTCAGCTCCAGGGGACCTACACTTTCCCTGTTTTCTACATTTATTTTCATGAACAAAGCATGGACACACACACACAAACACACACACAGAGGAGTGTCATTATATAGAAATAAAATTGAGTCTGGGAGTTTAAGAATTGTTTCATGATTTTCCATAGTTAAAAAATCTGTAAAGGAATTGGGAATAAAAAATAGCATGTGGGAGAGTGGTGAGCATGAAAGGACAGGACATATAGCAAATGGATTCAGAAGTAGGAAGTTGGAAAGTTCTCATTGTTCTACTTGACTTGAGGAAGGTGGATATTTTCAGGTCTTGTGTTTCTTACATACTCATAGTAACTTTTGGAAACAAAAGTTTCATATTTTAAGCTAGACATCTGTGACAATGAATGTCAAGTATCTGAACTTATTTTCTCTTCTCTAGTGGGATTGTATAGTGGTATAAAACATTTCCCTCTTGTAATAGTCTGAGTTCTTTAAAGAGAACTGATTGTGTGTGTTTGTATGTGTGTGTGCGCACGTGTGTGTGTGTATGTGTGTGTGTGTGTGTGTGTGTGTGTATGGAATTTATTAGAGTAGCCTGCAAAGTCTGATTAGTCCAACAATGACTGTCTTCAGAAGGCCAAAAATCCAGTAGACAGCCATAAGAATGGGTGTCTCAGAAGTTCCACTCTGGTGATCAAATCATTAAATCATTCCTAGGCATGCCAGCTGCTTGAGTTTTATTTGATTGCATATGAAACCAAGCTGACAACCAAGATTAGCCACCATGGCTCCCCAAGTTTCATTGATAGGAGATTTTGTGTGCCTTCCAGCTCATCTAAAGTTTTCTTATAGTTTCATATTGAAGCTTAAAAGCACTGATTGTGTTTTGCTTTTGGATACTATCAGACAATAGCCGTGGTTTAGGAGGTACTGACACGTGACAATAATGCTCACCTTTTTTGTGGGTCATGTCACCTGAACACAAGACAAGGGAAGTATGCATTTGCTTCTGTAAAGTTTTCTTTTGAATAACTTTCCCGTGACCTTGCAGCTACAGAAGAGTCTTTGTGGACTACACCTTTGTATTCCCTCTTCTACCTACGCTATCACCTGGGTAGTGGGCATTTTATTCAAGTATGTATTCACTAGTTCGAGCAAGTAACACGATCATGACATACAAACATGGAAATAAACATACTTTTTTGTAAAAGTAAAATATATATTACCATAGAAAGTATCTGTCCATCCTTGTCATTGCTATTACATTTTATCATGACTTATTTTCTTCCAGTATCAGGTCATCAGAAGAAATGAATTTTAGTCAGAAATATAAGAAGAGAAATATTTATAAGGAAAAGCCAAAGAAACCTTGCTGTGGTGAAATTATACAAAAATCATCCAGTAAGTAATTGCTATTGACACAGTATAGATGACATTTTATAAAATGACATTTTATAGAGTAACGTGATTAGGACAACAAGCTATGTTGTCTAGCAAGAATGTTCATTTTTCCTTCATAAATATAATGTGTGATTCTATTCTCTTCATCTCATGAAGGAGGAGGGTAAGGCTTGATCCTATTAAATAACATGCAAGATTTATCACATATATAACATATCTATAAGGTCTAAGCCATCTAAGCCAGAAAACATATATAAGGTACTTGCTATAGTTCCAAAAATAAGAATAGCACCAAAATCAAAATACTTTCCACTTACTACTAAACAAACAAACAAACACTCTTTTATTTCTTTTTTTATTAATTACACTTTATTCACTTTGTATCCCCCATAAGCCCCTCCCTCCTCCCCTCCCCATCCCATCCTTCTTTCCTCTTCTTCGCGAATGCCCCTCCCCAAGTCCACTGATAGGGGAGGTCCTCCTCTCCTTCCTTCTGATCTTAGTCTATCAGATCTCATCAGGAGTGGCTGCATTGTCATCTTCTGTGGTCTGGTAAGGCTGCTCCCCCTCAGGGGGAGGAGGTGATCAAAGAGCAAGCCAATCAGTTTATGTCAGAGGCAGTCCCTCTTCCCAACAAACACTCTTAAAACCCCAAAATAAGACAAAACAAAAAACAACTAATAAAGGACAAGTAAGATGGCTCAGTGGGTACAGCATTTGCAAGCCTTACCACCTGAGTCTCCCTGGGTCACATTGTGTCCATAGCAACCAGAGAGGCCAAATGCTGTTTCTCCCTTTTCCTTTGTCCATTCAGTCAAGTCACAGCCTATGAAGTGGGGCCAGATGTATGCTCACCAGGTGATTGTGAATCCAGACTCACGGACAGTGAAAACTATGCATCAGTACAGTTATGAGTGGAATTTAAAAATGTTGATCTTATAAATGTTCGGAATAGGAGGAGAAGGAATGAGGAAATCTTGACCAATAGAGACAGTACAGCTGGATAAAAGGAAGAAGTTGCCATAGGCTATTGCATAGTAGGGTAACTGTGGAATACTTTCATCACAAAATGGGAAGATATATTTATATTTATTTAGATATTACACAATGTCTGTATGTGTGAAAACATCACATGGCACCAAATTATTATTATATGTTTGCTTTTTATGCTAGTGAAAATTTTAATCAAAAATATGAAATTTGTGAAAATTGTATTTCTTCCAGGAATCTCAAAGCCGTATGAGGAAAGTATCATTATAATCTAGTTTTTTCTTTTTTTCCTAGACAGGATTTCTCTTTGTAGTTTTGGATGTCCTGGACTCAGTTTGTAAATCAGGCTTGCCTCTAAATCACAGAGATCTGCCTGCCTCTCACTTCCCAAGTGCTGGGGTTACAGGTGTGAGCCACCATGCCAGTTTCTAGAAAAATTACAGAAAAATATAATTGAAAAACTCCAATGGTGGTATGTATCTGCACTCCCAGCATTTAGAAAGTAAAGACAGGTAATTTGAGTACAGAATTTTTAGACTGTGCTGGGAAATATAGGAAGACCCTGTCTCAAAATGATGATGATGATGATGATGATGATGATGATGATGATCATGATGATGATGGCTTATGATAATTGAAACACAGAATCATTGTTATACTAAAGTCTATTTCTTAGAAGCATAGATGAAGATCATTCCTGAAGCTATAAAATGTAATGAAACTGGCCTTAAACACATATTTAATAGCTGAACTGTCAGGAAAGAAATATATTGACTTTAGGTGAAAATCCTCTCAAAATGTACGTGGTAACTTGTTGACAATGTCCATAAGCACATCTTTGTCAGGGACCTATGACATGAACTCTAACCAGTGCCAGCTGTCTTACCACAGACCATGGCTTCATAACTTATGAATGGTAAATGGTGCAGAACTCATCAGTTGTGTATATTCTGATGACTTATCAACAAGGGACTTGAGGTGTTGTAACTGCGATGAACCTTTACAAAAGGGCATGATTATTGGTCTTAGCATCATGACTCTCAAAGAGTGATTATTGGTCTAGCACTATTGCCATTATGAAACACATTAAAATGCGTTTTTAAAAATGATATTTATCTTTTTCAAAAGATAAATAGTATCTTTATCCTATTTTCATCCACATACACACACAAAATAAAATAATAAATATCAAAAAGCAGAGGCCAGGGATGGCACATGGTGACCCATGGATTAATAAGCCCTCTGAATGATAATTCTGATGGGTGACAAAGGTGGAGAATCATGGACTTAGGGTTTGCCTTGCAGACCTAGTGCAGCACAATGGGAAAAGCACCGTTCTTGCCTCTGCAGGACTGATACCACAGAACATAAGACTATTCCTTGAATTAGTATTTATTGACTTCTTAGTCCTCACGTGTCACATGAGGCAAAAACTTTTGTCAGTCTGTTCAGAACTTTGTTCTTAATGTGTGGCTCACATAGATCCTTTACTGTTCCACAGACAAAAATAAATAAAATGCTGTTCTCTTTTTATATTATAGTTGCGTGGAAGTATATCTGTCAATTCAAATTTTTAGATTTTTTTTGTTCAAGAAACACTGAAAAGAATATATTCCATTTCACAAAAGATATAATTTTCCTGGAGATTAAAGAGAAATTGAAGCCTTTCCAAAACTGTAGAATGTCAGCTTTCAAGGGACTATTGTAGAAAAATATAACACAATGCAAAATAAATGAAAAGGAAGCCTTGAGTTTCTCTTTGTCCCTTTTAACAGGAAGGACTCTATGGGTTTCTGTTGAGGAGCTGTGCTTGGAGGAGGCAGTGATCCCTGCAGCTGCACCAGCTGAGTAATAGGAAGCTTAAAATTAAAAAAAGTGAATTTGGAAACACATTAGCTTGTTTCAAAGAGTTAATGACATTGTCCTTTTTCTCTCCTCCTTCCCTTAAATTTGCTGTTTGAAGGCACATTTGGGTCCTTAAGCCTTAGAATCCTGAAAGAGCTGCCCGAAGTGAGTAAACCTGCATTTCTTCTAGACCCCGGCAAATTCTTTAAGGAAGATCTAGAGAAGGATGAGCCCCAAGGCCCACAGTTTCCTTTGCTCTCTGAAAGTAAGTCCTCAGCTTGTCTACAATCACCATCCTTTCTTTGTGCAACTCAATCAAAGGAAAAGGGAGTAAAAGTAGAATATCATGAAAATAACACATTTGCCTTGTAGGTTGCTGTGAAACAAAGTGTGGTGTGGTTGTCAAGATTTACAGCTCTGTGCTCACAGATAGAGGAGCCAGCAGGCTGAAACACGTGAAATGGATTCTATTGTGGCACTGCTCGGAGAGCAGACTGCCGTGGATACCCTGAATCAGCCATGCCTCTATAAATAGAGGCTACTTAAAGCACATTGTCTCTAAGGCTCCAGCTGCAACGTGGGGCTAATAAGAGAGGACAAGGAAGCTTAACTTGAAAAATGCAAGTGAGGTCTCTGAGGATTTTGAAAGAACGTGTATACAAGCATGCTCTATTTTTTTTTCCAGATTATTTTAACAGTTTGCAGTTTGTGAGCATTTGAAGAATAAGATCTGTACAAACATCTTTCCTACAAAGGAAGCCTTGTGGGAATTCAGGCAACACAACCTGACACTGGGCAAGGCTCTGAGAAAGCATATGGCACTGTAGGGGATCTCATTTAAAAGAATTGATGGAAATGGAGTGTTTTCAATGTGTAATACTGAAAGGAACAGAGCTCCATGACAGTCATTTGAGACCCAGTCTCTAAACTTCTCCAATTTCTAACCTAGGATTCAACATCATTCTTGAACAATACTTTTGCAAGAGGGGGTTGTTTTCTTTCCACACCGAAAGACATTTAAACTTCTTTTTACTTAGTCCTCAATGGAAAAGGAAAACCAACTGGTCACATTTTTCTTTTCAAATTTCAGTTATCATCTGGAAAAACTGTCTTTTCTTATCACTACACTTTTCAGTCTCCAATAATCATTTTGCTAGGTCTTTCTTAAACTTCCTCTTTTCTAAATTTGTAAATATTTGCATATTTCTTTTCGGTTTTCTGCCCATTTCTCCTAGACGTATGTATCCATAAACTTTATGTCTTTAAAAAAATAAATTTTATTTTTTCACTTCATATCCTGATTGTAGCCCCCTCCCCTCCTCTTTGTCCCAGTCCCACCCTCCATCCCATCCCCTTTTCCCTATGCCACCTGTCCTTCTCCTCAGAAAAAGGGAGCCCTCCCCCATCAACCCACCCTAGCACATCCAGTCACATTAGGACTAAGCTCATCCTCATCCACTGAGGCCAGGCAAGGCAGCTCTGCTAGGGGAAAGTGATGGAAAATCAGGCAACAAAGTCCATGCAAGAGACACTAACCTGCTCCACTTACTAGTGAACCCACATGAAGATGAGCTGACCATCTGTTACATATGTGTATGGGGCCAGGTCCAGTCTATGCGTGCTAGTTGGTTGATGCTTCAGTCTCTGCAAGCTCCCATGGGACTAGGTCATTTGACTCTGTTGGTCTTCTTGTAGAGTTTTGTCCCCTCTGGGTCCTCCTATCCCCTCTCCTCACCACCTCTTCCACCCCACCTCTTCCACCGGACTCCCAAGCTCCACTTGTTTGAATGTGAATCTCAGCATCCATTTTGATCCCCTGCTGAGTGGAGCCTCTCAGAGGACTGTTATGCATAGCAGAGTATCCTTAGTGGTGTCAGGGGTTGCCCCTCTCCCATGGCGTGGATCTCAGGTTGGGCCAGGCATTGGTTGGACATTCCCTCAGTCTCTACTCTATCTTCATCTCTGCACATCTTGTAGGCAGGGTAAATTTTGGGTAGAAGGTTTTGTTGGTGGGTTGGTGTTTCTCTCCCATCACTACTTTAGGTCTTTAAGTGCACAGAATGGGGCATCCAGTATGTCATCATCATTTTTTTATCAGAATAATTTACCTTTAAGAAGGATACGTGTGTGGGAAGATGGGTCTAAATATAAGGAATCGGCTATTGGCTAGATTTTGGATCTCTGGAACCCATGTGATTGGATGGGCGTGCATGGTCACAGCCTGTAACGCTAGCACCCAAATCAACAGAGTCAGAGAGGGGATGCTCATAGGAAGCTGGCTAGCTACAACTGGCCATCTTGTGAGCTCTGCGTTCAGCAAGAGACCCTGCCTCAACAAATAAAGTGGAACATGGCTGGTGAACACCCGAAAGCACCTGTGGGCCTCATACGCACATGCACACTCACACAAATGTACCAACACACAGGTGCCTACACATATGTGAAGATGTACACATAGGCTCATTACACACATTAAAAACTGAATTAATATGGGAAAAGTTTGTCTTTGCATGAACCACAGAGAACCTGGCAGTAGCTAGTGAAAAATAGATTCAGAGAGTCACGGTAAAGCACAAGGTATGAACACATAAGGGAACCAAGGTGGAGCAAAAAGACAAGAAGACTGAATTCAGGCAAGACAAACACAACACGGAATACATACAAGGCACAGGGTAAATAGTGGGAAAGAGAGGCAACCAAAGGCCCAAACCTTTCCTCAGCCTTCAGAGTCCCGTCCTGTGTGTGTGTGTGCTCAATCTACAACATCAGGAAGGCAACTTGAGTTCTCCTTATAGACAGGAGAGTGTTCTTTGGGTGGGCATGGGGCTGGGTTGATATCTGGGTAACAATACTGCAAATATATAAAAGACTAAGGAATTTATGAAGAACAATAATTTCCTTGATTTCTTCATTTTATATTTTTTCATAATATTCTGAAAAAAATTAAAGGATATACAGTTTCTTTCAAATTTTCTTTCTTTAGCTTTTCTTCTTTTTTCCCATGGGCTGGTCAGATGGCTCACTTGGCAGAGGTACTGTCATACAGACCTAATGATTCAAGGGTATTAGCTGTGATTCACCTTGGAAGGAGAGAACTGACTTTTTAAAGTTGTCCTCTGAATTCTGCAAATGCTTGTGGCACTCATGTGCCAGCTCTGGGCTTCCATCTCTGTCAGTCTTTCTCTTCCACAGTAGAAATGATAAATGAGTAAAAATTTAAAGTGTTTGAAATCATCTGCCTTGTCTTCCAGTGAAAATAGTTCAGTCTTTCGAGAGCCTTACACCGTAGCTTAGTCACAGCAGTGGCAGCAGGATTTGTGATATAGCACAACGACGATGAGGGTGCTGTGCCAAAGGCACCGGCAGGAGACGGAGTCCTTCTGGCTGGAGCTTAGGAAGCACTTCAAAATAAGAATCTCATCTGAGCTGAGACTTAACGGATGAGTAGGGTCTCAAACTGTGAGAAAGGAGATCTAGAATTCAAGACGAGAAAAGATTCATGAGGGGGAAAAGAGATAAAAATAAAAATGATTATGCAATGGCTGCAATGGGCAACTTCATCTGTTGAGACAGTAACAGACTTAGCCACACAAGTAGAGGAGTTAGAATGAGGCGAGATGCCACCTAGAAATCAAGGGGACATTAGAAAAATTGTAACATGCCCTACAATGGTTCCTGGAGTTTACTCATTGCAGATATCAATACTGAATGGATTTCACCCATTCTAGATATTGATTGCCTTCCTTCTAGGTACATAGCATTTCCGAAGGTAGAGACTGAATGTGTTTGCATCAGTGCTAGATGTTGGAGACACAAAGATAATCTGAAGAAGTTCAGCCTTCAAAGATCTTGGAAGATAATAGATAAGCAAACAAATACATCACAGCAGATAAATCTGGGGACTGTGGAAAATACAGAAAGTCTACAGGGAAAACATAATTATGTCTATTCATAACATTAAAAGGTAAACCCAAGGCTGGAGAAATAGCTTACACAGTCAAGCGATTTCCACACCAAGAGTGAGGACCTGAGTGAGATCCGCAGAACCTATGTAAGAACTAGATATGGTGGCGCATGCTTATGCTCCTACTGCTGTGGAGACAGAGACAGGGAGATCCCTGGATCTTACTGGCCAGCCAGCCTAGCCTATCAAAAGTCCTGGGTCCCATTGAGAGTCTCAAAATGACAACACAAAAAAGCCCAGGATGGAGCTGGGGAAATGGTTTCCTCAGTAAGGTTCTTCCCATGTAAGTGTGAGAACCTGAGTTCAGCTCTCTAAGGCGCACAGAAATATGGGTGAAGTAGCACACGCACATAACCTCAGCGCTCCTTTGGTGAGATGCAAAGCAGGGGCAGGAGAATCCCCAGAAGCTCATGGGCTGGCTAATATTCAATAAGTAGTGGTGAACAGTCTCAAGCAAGATGGAGTGTGAGGACAAACACCTGTTCTGTGACCTACACATGTTACATTCCACAAAAAAGCCCACACTCACATATATGAATGGAGCACACTTACACACATACACATCACCATCCAAGCACAGATATACACAGGTCTTAACTAAGGTTTCTATTGCTGTGTTGAAGCATGATGGTAACTCAGGGAGAAAATGCTTTCTTGGGCTTGTGTATCTGAGCCACAGTCTATTGAGGGAAGCCAAGGTAAGGACTCAAACTAGTCAGGAGCCTGGAGGCAGGAGCTGATGCAGACGGCGAAGAGAAGTGCTGGTTACAGGCTTGCTCCTCATGGCTTTCTCAAGGCGCTCTCTGTCTCCTTCTCTCTCTCTCTCTCTTACTTTTTAAGTTTAATTTACTCATTTTTTTACATCCCAGTTGTATCCCCCTCCCTAGTCTCCTCATGGTTCCACACTCCCTCCCTATTTTCCCCTTTCTCTCCTCTCCTACTTCTCAGAGAAGGGGGACCCACCCTCATCTAATACCACTCTAGAGGCTGTGGGACCTAGAAGAATGGGAACAAAATATAAGTTGGACTAAAGTCTCATGCAAAAGCCAGCTCTATTCAGAGCAGTTGACAATTTATACTCCTAGGGTTAAGAAAGGTCACATGAGAAAAGTTCTTTTTTTTTTCTTTTTTTATTAATTTATTTCTTTTTTATTATTAATTACACTTTATTCATTTTGTATCCCCCCATAAGCCCCTCCCTCCTCCCCTCCCGATCCCACTCTTCCTCCCCTTTCTGCATGCATGCCCCTCCCCAAGTCCACTGATATGGGAGGTCTTCCTCTCCTTCTTTCTGATCTTAG